TACGGATAAATTCTGTGGCTGTGGATCCCCTTGGTGTGAAATTCTACTCTACTGATCTGTGCAACTAATGTGAAAGAATTTACGTATCCCGATGTTTATCCGGCGTTATTCAAATTCCCCGAGAACAGGTAGTTTTGGACCTGCAGCAGGGGGTCACCCCCTGCTGCCGGGGAATTCCTCCTTACTGGACCACAAATGTCCATATGTAGTGTGTGACAATTTTCATTCGCTCGTGTCCCAACACGGTTACGAAAAGACATTCTCCTTCCTTTCATACATGCACACGAATGGCAGTAGAACTTAACATCCTTGAACATCTCTACCTTCAGTCTAGGCATTCCCTTTACACTATCCTTAGTCAACATGCTCAGTGTTGTAGCCAATGATGGATGTCCTAATCGGATATGCCACTCATGAAGCAAATCATATGCCTCGTCCTTACTCACATTGCGTTGATACGGTGCACTTTTAATTGCATTACAGTGTACCTGACGCTCCTTTAACGTGTAGGTCTTAATATAATACGCTCCGTTAATTACAACTCCTACAAACTGTAGGACATTGTTGAGAAACACGTATTTAAATTGCCCACACAGACTCTCAATTATCATATAACCACTACGTTTTAATGCGTGTTCGGATAATATATTCGAACGTGCTCCTGGCACATACGCAACGTTCTCAAAACTGAACTTATTTATACTCCTTGGAGATTCAAACCACAACTCAATTGAACCAACATGTGTATTTTTCAGTTTAGACCCTTCAGCGAATCTAAAAACAAGTCCAGAACCATCCGCGAGAATGAGTTCAGTTGACCAGTCAAGTGGTAACCGCAGCCGCCATCAAGCGCCCATTCGTTACTAGACATAGTCCGTTCAGTTAATAGATGCGCATATTCATTACTTACATTTCGGTCAATTGCCTTCGTCAATTGCTGCACCTTGCGGGCAAGCACATTTACAGACAATTCCTCAGACGAAGAATTAATGTTGTTTGAAGGAACTGATTTATCCTCCAAACTAACTCCACCGAAGTCCATGAATCCATTGTTTAATTCAAGGTCGTAATTCGGCTCAGGAGGAGAGTTGAACGGAGTCACATCACCATTTTGACCATTTTGTTCAATCTCCTTATTTGAGACAACCACAGTGGGGCGATCACCACTTGTTACAGTGGGACCATAACCAGCGTAGGCTTCCACCATGTCAACCTTAACTTCCTTTCGTTGTTTCTTAAACGGCTTAAAAGGTTCGTTGATGTTCGAACGATACCCTTTTGTTGCAAAGTCCGCTTTCTTTTCAGGGCAGTCTGCCTTATAGTGCGAGACCCCATTTGTGTTAAACTTGCCGAAGCAGTAAAAACACTCTCCATTGTTCGGTTTAACTTCGTATCCGGATTTTCGCTTCTTTTCCGACACTTGGTTCACTTCGAACTTCTTCGTGCCATTTGATTGGCCGATACCCAAAATTTATTTCTTCGATCCGAAGATCGTAGTCAATTCGGCCTCAACTTCAGCCAATCGGAATGTAGATGCTTCCAGCACAATCTGGGCACCGTAATATTCCGAGGGCAAAACCCCCAAAACCATGAGTATTACTAATTCCTCGTTAACAACATCACGGTGAAGGTACTTTTGTGTGTGGAAATTTACAGCGTTCTTAATCGAGCTCACTAAAGAGTGACTCGACTGACGAAAAGTCTCCTTCCGCTACGCGCCACATCTTGCGCAATTTCCGGATTTTCGCTTCTTTTCCGACACTTGGTTCACTTCGAACTTCTTCGTGCCATTTGATTGGCCGATACCCAAAATTTATTTCTTCGATCCGAAGATCGTAGTCAATTCGGCCTCAACTTCAGCCAATCGGAATGTAGATGCTTCCAGCACAATCTGGGCACCGTAATATTCCGAGGGCAAAACCCCCAAAACCATGAGTATTACTAATTCCTCGTTAACAACATCACGGTGAAGGTACTTTTGTGTGTGGAAATTTACAGCGTTCTTAATCGAGCTCACTAAAGAGTGACTCGACTGACGAAAAGTCTCCTTCCGCTACGCGCCACATCTTGCGCAATTTCCGGATTTTCGCTTCTTTTCCGACACTTGGTTCACTTCGAACTTCTTCGTGCCATTTGATTGGCCGATACCCAAAATTTATTTCTTCGATCCGAAGATCGTAGTCAATTCGGCCTCAACTTCAGCCAATCGGAATGTAGATGCTTCCAGCACAATCTGGGCACCGTAATATTCCGAGGGCAAAACCCCCAAAACCATGAGTATTACTAATTCCTCGTTAACAACATCACGGTGAAGGTACTTTTGTGTGTGGAAATTTACAGCGTTCTTAATCGAGCTCACTAAAGAGTGACTCGACTGACGAAAAGTCTCCTTCCGCTACACGCCACATCTTGCGTACTTGACCCTTAACGTTAGAAACGTTTGAGACACCGTATTTCTTTTCCACCTCAGCCCAAATCTTAAAGATTGGCTCATTATCCGAATAGGAGTCTTTCATCTGTTGGACAAAACTATCCGGAAGAACTTTACTCAACAAAGTTCTGATTTTCTGTTGTTGCAGTACGCGATAATGCGCATGCCACTTTTTCTTTTTTTCATTTGTTTCCAGCGAAATGTCACTACTTTGAATGTCATCTTTCAGCCAGTTTTCGAATTTAACCGTAGGTTCCGGTTGGTTTTCATCCTTAGATGAGAGCCATGTACCGTGCATTTGAACCGTTAACTCCTTCAGATGTGCGACGAACTTCGCCGACCCCACGCGAAACTTGTCTTTCCTTCCATTAAAGACTAACAGCGAGATGCCGTTCTCTTTCATATCCGCAGCCATCCCAAGCTTACTTGAAATGTTGGATATTAACTACTATTAATAACTAGTAGTAGTACACTTGCTTTGAAAGTATCAACCTTTGTTACTCGTTAGTCTACACTCGCAACTACAG